CATATATCAGGACAGCAGCTGATGCATGTGCCAAGGTAGCCTCCTCTAGGTTCTCTGTGGTTACCCTGAGAAAGGCCTGTTCTTTAAAGCAAACAGCCATAATCCCTGTAACCGGAACACCTAAGCCCCAGGAAGTTACATTTCTAAATACACTGCGCACTGATTTTTACTTTGGAAAGGTCTCACTTGGTTAAGTATAATTTGTTCTAGATTATTGTAGAGCTCTATTTAAAGAATTGTACTATATACTTTTTAAAGAAAAATCTTTATTTTGATTTTTAAGGAAATAAATGAGCCCTGGTGGTTCATAAACTGAGTGCAGTTTGTTGCCTGTGGTGTTGAAAACTGAGGTATGTTTCCTTCTCTTTTTTCTTAACACATTATACTATTCCTTCTAGAGCAAGAGCATTCTTTTTATTTTAGTTTACGTTAGTTTATTTTTTATAATTTTGGTTTCCATCTCTTGAAGTATGGTCATAGCAATCTGTTAATCTGTTAATCTGATAGATTTTAAAGACTGTGCTCTTGGGAGGAAGAGTTCAGAGAAGCTGGTGTTAATTAGAGCGAAGCAGGAGATTGAACAAGGCCACCAGATTTAGTAAAGTGGATCGCTTCCAGCTTCAACCCGAGGGCGAATCTCCCGCCATGATCGCGGTAGGATTCCAGCTCATCTTTCTCTTCTTGCCATGTCTTCCCCCCATAAAATAGGCTAATTGAACTTCTTTGCATATAAAACAACTTAAGTAAGTACTAGTTTTTCTTTCTGGAAAGCACACTGAAGATTGCCTCCAGATATTTTTGACTAGCAAATATAGATTTTCTGGCAACAGGATTGCTCTTTAAAATGCCTGGAATGATTAAACAAACAAACAAAAAACAAAATACCCCCCACCTCAACAAAAGTTTATTTACACCATGAAAAATACATATTTTGGAACATGTATGTTGCATAGCAAGTGGATAAACTTCAGGAGTGAGTCTTATTCAGCACTCCCTTTCCCTGGGAATTACCCAGTAAGCTGATCTAGAATCCAATTAGGATAGTCCTTATGAGTTGAATTAACTATATAGGTAACTTTTACTGATAATAGAACACTGAAGTTTATAAATGACTTGCTTTTTGAGTGAAACGAGTCAGGCAGAGAAAAAGAAATACCACATGTTCTCACTCATTGGTGGGAGCTAAAAAATAAACAAATTAATTCACCCACATACACACACAAAAAAAACCGGGGGGGGGGGAGGGAAGAAGATATAACAACTATACTTTTTTGAAGTTGTTACAACAAGCAAACGGAAAGGACATTTTTGGGGGGGAGGGGAGAGAGGGAGGAGGGAGGGAGGTGTCGGTGATGGGCCATAATAATCATATACATTGTATATTGACAAAATAAAAATTTAACGAAAAAATAAATAAAAAACAATAATCATATACATTGTATATTGACAAAATAAAAATTTAACGAAAAAATAAATAAAAAACAATAATCATATACATTGTATATTGACAAAATAAAAATTTAACGAAAAAATAAATAAAAAACAATAATCATATACATTGTATATTGACAAAATAAAAATTTAACGAAAAAATAAATAAAAAATGTTAGAGGGAATTAAAAGTTATACATGTAACACCACTGTTCAGTTTCTTTCCTGCAAGAAGGGAAAGGAAGGGGACAGTGGTAACTTCACCTTTGAGCTACTGACACTGCCCGAGCTCTTTGTGATTTGCCACTGGTAGTTGTGGAGAGGGGAGGGGCTTTGTGCTTTGCTTCTTCCCAGATTCTTTTGTCTTGTTTGTCAGACTCCGGGCACGCCCATGATGGTGATTGTGCATGGGGAAATTATCTGTTCCGTGTTGTGTTTCCCTCCCACCTCAAAACAAGCAAAGCCCAAGAGCAAAGCCAGTGCTTGGTCAAGCTGACTGCCTGCCTTCTGGAGTGATAGCATTTTGTGTACACTTCACATTTGGTGGCTCCTAAAAGACAGAGTTGGGTTGCGACCACGTAGGGGTGGACCTGGCCAGGCCCCCATTGCTGTGGTGGAGGAGCAAGGCTGCGGGGCTCTCAGCTGTCGCCTGGACTGATGCTGTCCCCAGCTTCCCTCCCATCCCCTCAGGGCTGCTTCTCTGAGCTTTGTCACCAACCGCAAGCAATGAAGGTCCTGATTGCGCATCAGAGTGAGCGGCATGGAAATGAACTCAGGTGTGACGTGGACAGAGGCCTTGTAACTCTGGCCCAGCACATCCAGCACAGTTGGGTTACTTTTAAAAACAGCAGCAGGAGCAGCAACAAGCAAATGTGCCATTAAAAGCCCTTACATAATTGTATGGGGTTTGAGTTTCCTCTGGTTCACGTTTTCTTGCCTCTTTGATAATCAAAGGATCTGAAGAAGGTGTAGAATTTCTGGAGAGAATCTGCATGACAGGCTTACAATGAGGCTATTCATGACGACTCTTTCATTAGCTTCAACAGGATCTGCATCATTCTTAGTCTCTGGCTTTGCTACAAGGCTCCATTTAAACTGAACCCAACTTTCAGCCTTAACTGATCCAGGAGTGACTCAATACACGGAGCCCGCTACTGTAGCTCCCTTTCCCCTCTTGATAAGGGGTTTAACACAATGGGCTTTACAGTTCTTAAATGACTCTGTTTTTTTCTGTCTTTGAGATGTGGTACTTATATGACCTTTTGTTCTTAATAAAATTTCATATGGTTTGACTATATTTTTAAAAAGTATAAACAAACAATATTGACTCCTACCCTTAGAATAAAATTTTTAAAATCTTGTAGATGATATAGAAGTGAAATTCATGTCATGCTATTTACACAGCTGATTTTGATATATTAGATATTGTTATTATTTACTATTAGATATTACTAAATCAAACTTGAAAATATTTTATTTTAAGGGGTGATTCTGATATAGTTTGCAGTAATACTTCAGCGTTGAATTTCCATTTGTGCGAATTTCTTGTTTTTTCTGGTGTTTTATACTATTTTCACTACCTTATATGATATGTGAATGTAATTAACATTTCAGTAAAATTGGCGCAGTGGTTGTGTGACAGGGTAAATTGACTTAACTTATGCCATTTTGTTCTCATTGAAAAGCCCCCAACACTCTTAGCAGAAGTTCTCGTTAGACAAATAAGACACCCTGTACCTGGATATGAAAGATGGAAAAAAAAAAATTAAAATTTCCCGCCTATGCTGTTTCTGGCCGATAGAAGCAAGAACTACATCAAGATGGAGCCAGGCGACCTAGGGAGGAGACTGCCATGGGGAAGTTCTTGCTGTTCTTGACTGATTAATTTTCTTATCTTGGCTTCTGTAACCAGCTTGCTTTAGGCCTTGAGAAACACCTCTTGCCAGGAGGGGTGTGACTTTTGCTGTGTGATTACGTGACTTTCTGCCTTTAAAAGACCCCTCAAACTTAGGCTCGGGGCTGCTTTCTTACCAGAATACCTGGAGAGACAGTCCCCGGCTGGCTAATAAAGACTCTGTTAAAATTCTTATTTAAGTGTTTGGTTCCTTTCCTGGGCGACAACCTCACAACAGTTGGAGACCATGAAATGACCACAGTGCTCTTATACTTCTCACTTCCCATCAGGGCATACCTGGCTGTGCCGAGTAGCTGGGGGAGGGAACCCTGAGGACACATTTGGTGCACAGCACACTGAGAGTATCGAGGGCCCACACTCTATACACACCTTAGAACAGTGGTTCCTAAACTTCAGTCAGAACAGGACTCATCTGGATGCTTGTTAAAAATACCGATGCCTGGACCCCAGCTCCAGAGACTCTGATTCAGTAAGTCTGTTGTTGGACCACGCTGAGAATCAGTATCCTAAAGTCAAAGGGAATGCTGGAAATCACACTGCCTCCTGCAGCACCAGTGGCCCCCATGCGACCAGAACTCACCTTGGGTAGGAGTGAGTTTGGTGTGACCCCAGAAGTTCCGGCTGACAGGAGGGGAAGGACAGCTCCAATATTTCCAAAGTGTTGGAGCAGCTCACGCCTCCTCCTCCTTTTCTGCTTCCATTCAGGGCAGGGCCAACTCCATCCTCCTGTTCCCAAGAACACGCTTCACCTGTGGGTGGCACTGGGTGTCTGGGGTGTCATCTCACTCCCACCCCAGCTTTGTAATTAGAACATTAGAGTTATCTGCAGTACTTAATCCCAATTAGCTTCTCTATCCCCTCCCCTTCCCCTATTAAAGTAATTTTAGATTTTCAGAAACAAAGGTCTTTTTCAAAAGGACTTCTAATTAGAAACGGACTCTCAAGAAGCCTTTTGGGAATTATGGCTGTAACATGTTTGTTCATTTCATGAGGATAAGATTTTTCCTTGAAGATCAGTTGATCCGATGGTCAGAACAGAAAGGGAAAATAAGTGGTGATGACTGTTGGTGTTTTTAGCAGTTTGCCTGAGGTACTATTGTGTGTTCTGTTTAGAATCCACCCCCATGTAGTTGGCGGACTTTTTTATTATGAGAATTTTCAGGCCTATACAAAACTAGACAGTACAGCAAACTCGCATATATTCATCACCCACTTTCCAGAGTTGTCAAGACTTATTATATTTTTCAGCAGGCTTTTTTTATTCTTAAGTTTTGTTGGTGGTTTTTATAGGGGAGAAGAAGTAATATCTTTTCCGTACCCATCAGAAGGTTAATGACTGAGGCACCTGTAACAAAAGACATTAATAAGGGAAGAGCATACAAGTTTATTTAATATAAGTTTTATGTGACATGGGAACCTTCAGAAATGAAGACTCAAAGAAGTAGGGAAATATGTAAATTTTTATGCTTAGGTTTGCTGAAGAGTGGACAGTCTGCTGAAGTATGATTGGAAAAGGTGTTATATTTTGGGGTAGCGTGTCCTGAATGTCATCATTTTCAAACTGGTTCATTTCAAAAATGAATTCAACATGAAACACTTTGCTTAAGGCCTGAGTGCAGTGTCATCAGTAATGATCTAAATGTGTCCTTTTCAGGAATGTGTTCCAGAAAACCTGCAACTGAAGAAGAAGATTTTCGCTCAGTTAGATCGCATCATTGACGACACGGTGGTCTTGGCAAGCTCCACCTCCTGCCTCATGCCTTCCAAGTTGTTTGCCGGCCTGGCACACATGAGGCAGTGCCTTGTGGCTCATCCTGTGAGTATGGCGAAACTGCAGAACTGGTGCTGTCTCATTTGGATTTGGGGGGCAGTAAATTGTGACTAATCCACTAGTATTTTGAGCTGCTTCATTGAGATACAGTTCATATACCACACAATTCACCAATTGAAATAGTACAATTTAGTGGTTTTCAGTAGATTCAGAGAGTTGCGCAACACCAGCATTTTAAAAAAGAATTTTATTCCTTGAATTTTATCTGTGTATCTAATGCGTAATGGGATAGAATTAAGAATGCTTTGAGGCTATTGCCCTCAAGTCACCATGTAACTGAGGAGGCTGACTACTAAATAATTTCACTACCAACTAAAAGTGCTACATGAAAAATATCTTTATTGAATAGGATTTTGTAGCTATGTCACTTGTACTGTATAGTTTATTAACACAATTCAGAGTGGGATTGAGATCAGTTTTGCCAAAATGCAGATCTGGGTTCCACTCCCAAGATTCTGATTCAGGTCTCTGACTTTAAAGCCCCCTCTTACTTATTGTTCCCTCTCCCTCGCCCACTATGATTAACTGGGCAAACTCAGCCACTGGCAGTGCATCGTGGGGCGTACTAGACAATGAGTTACAAACTGGCATCATGCACTCCAGGAATCTTTTCGAGGTTAATGTATTAATGTGACGAAAGAGGATCCAGAGAGGAGATGCAGGGATCACTCAAGGAACATGTGTCCTGACTGTGAGCTCAGCATGACCTTGGAGAACCAGGACAGTTAATCTGGAATATATAACGTATCTCAAGCTGTAATAAAGGCGACAGTATATAATGGTGGCCATACCCTTGGCACCACCAGAACATCAGAAGTTAAGGTTGGGGGAAGTGACACAGAGAAGCTGGGACCAGCCTGGCTAGGATGTGGTTGGGCTGATAAGGGGAGGAGAATGTTTGAGGCTGCAGAAGGGTGTAAGCAAAGACCCCAAGCCACGGACAGGCTCAGGCCTGCAGACTCGGAGGAGACCAGCTTGCTGGAAGAGCACACGTTTGTAGGGAACAGGTGAACATTGGGAGGCTTGGTGATAGCTGGGTCCTGGAGAATTGTGAGCATTCCTCTGAGGACTCGGGGTGGCTGGTGGAAACACTGCTTTGGCAGGGTAAGGTGCAGGCCGTGTGTGTGGTGAGGATGGGTCAGGATGGGCCCGCAGCAACCTCGCGGGCCTCAGGCAGCATTCCAGGCATGAGCGACCAGGGAAAGAGCACTTTCTGAGCAAGAGCACTTGAGAGTGTGGAGGCAACAGATTTGCTCAGGGAGTTGTTGATTTTATATGCTGAGAAGAGGGGTGACTTGGACTACCATTTACACAGCTCCATGTAAAGAGTGAAGAGTGGTTATAAAATAAGGCAACTTAGGCCCACAGAACATAGAAGAGAGCCAGTCAGATTTAGTTACTATTTGGACACAAGTGACATTAGCACCAAGAGGGACCCCATTGAAAGAAACAAATTGTTAAGTCCCATGCAGCCTGTCATGTCTTTGCTTCAGTGACATATTCATGTCCACAAAAAGGACTCTTGGAAACCATAGCCAGTTATTAGACAGTCACTTCATGGCTTTAGTGGAAGATGTAAGCCTCTTGTTTGAAAGCTCCCAATTTCTAACCAGTATTTTTACTTCTAAGTTAGTTTAAACAAAACTAAATCAAATTGTTCAGAAAACACCTCCCAAGTTCTTGGACAAGACTTTTACCACGTTCTCCTCAGTTTTAAACCACCTAATGGGTAAGACGATGCCTGCTCCACCTTCTCCTCGGTCACACCTGGCCCAGTCCTCTGACTGGTAGGACGGTCAGTAACGGTTGAGTAATGACACGTCTCTTCCTCATACCGTCTCAGCCTCTCCCAGTATTGCTCACTTTTACTTATTTAATCAAACAGCACAGTTACAGTGTCTCTATTAATTTATAAATTATTCTTAACCAAAACCAATGCTAGCTAAAACAAATTAACCCAAGTTAACTGTCTTGGGAATTTTATCCCTTCTTTCTTCTGTGCTGGAGGCACCCACCTTTTGATCATTCCACCGGCCTTGGGGGGGGTGGGGGGAGCATCTGGAACAAGTGCAACAGGCAGTCCTAAACAGTCAAGAACCATTTATAATATTTGAGGCACCACAGGGATTCTGGGGAGCCCTCCAGGCTGGACAGGAGAGGCTCAGCATTCAGCTGCCAGCTGCTCCTGTGGCCTCAGTGCCTTGGTCACCTGAGATCTTTGCCTGGACAGGAAATAGGGTGAAGGAAAGGGAGGCCTCTGCATGCCGCCAAGAGGCCATGGCAAACACGGGTAGTCAGCAGTTGCAAAAGATTGCTGTCCCCACCTATGCACAAAGGAGCTGCCAGCCAGCATGTTGAAACATCTAGTGTTCCCTGGGCACCTGCTGCAGGGTGGGGGTGGATTTCCTGGCATCCTAGCCCTGGCTTGTGAGCGGAAGGCCCAACAGGATGCTCTTGGCTCCAGAGTAGGTGGCCACGGCCCTTCTCTGTGCCCTAGACATTCTTCCTCTCAAATGTCTTGTGTGTGACTCCGGATTCCCCACCTCAAGGGGCTTAGGGATGACAGTGTGGTGGCTGGGAGTGTTGGTTGAGGGTGGTCTGGAAGTTGCCATGGACGGCAGTCCCCTTGTTACTTAGAACGTGTGTCGGCAATCCATCAGAGCTGAGTTTCTTCTGCGGGTTTGGCCACACTTTGCAAAGGCTTCTTCCATTCCTTTCAGGTTGGGGAGCGTCATGGTCCGACGGAGTGGAGTGCATGGGGTCACCGTCACCCATGAGGGCTCTGCTCTGTGGACGAGCCTGCCTGAGAAGCTGGTGCCCACTGGCAGAGCGGGAGGTGTGCGCGGGGAGCACAGCTGAGCCGACAGCTCTGTCCCTGCCCATGCCCAGCCCCCCCGCCTGTACCTGCGCCCTCCTGACTCGCTCTCGCGTCTGACCTGAGACCATTTGCCCTCGTGCTGGAGGCGACTTCAATATTTGCGTTCTGGGCTTGCGGCTTGTAGAGCACGTGCGCGCGTGCGTGCGTGCGTGTGTACGTGAGCGTGCGTGCGTGTGCGCGGGCCGCGGCCCTTCAGAGGGTGCCTTTGGCTGTCTGTGGAGTGCGGCAGGAGAGGACTGACGGCACAGGGAGGGGTCACGTGCTGTCCACCCGACCTCTGCCCGGCCCCGCTTGTCGCCGCCGCTGTCCCCACCCCCGCTGCCGTGCTGTCGCTGGATCACAGGCGCCTTTCAGACCCGCCGGGGAAGAAGGCCCCCGCGCCGAGCCGCGCCCGCCGCCCCGCTCCCGGCCTCCGCGATGACACGCACGACCGCTGAAGAAATCGCCTCCTTTTGTGTGTGTGTTTCCCGTTCCTGGCGGGCGTGCTTCTCAGTCTCCCGCTCGGCCTCCCCGGCAGAAGCCCTGGCCCTGCCGTCCCGGGAGGAGCGAGTAGCGTTCCCAGTCCAAGGGCACCAGGATGCTTCTTCTCTGAGCCTACGACGGGGTTCACCTCCATGGTGACGGGCTGTGGCCAGAGCGACATCCATCGCAGCCCGGAGACAGCTGGAGGTCCTTGCCAGGCCGCTGGTGCAGGTGGACACGGAAGTGGGCAGCACTGTGCACGTCGGGAGGTGCGGCGGGCGAGTCAGGAAGGGCCTTCTGTAGCTGTTGTAGCCAGGGTGGGCCGGGGGGATTGCTGCGGGATTATGAGCTGGAGGGGCCATCCTCAGCATCATGTTTTTTAATCTATTTTTGATTTTTAATTGTGGTAAAGAACACATAACATCAAATTTGCCATCTTGACCATTTTTAAGTGTGTGCCCGGGGGGCATTAAGCACGTTCACACTGCTTAATGCAGTGCAGCCGTGTGAAACTGAGCTTCTCTACCCACCGAGCACTGGGCCCCTCCCCCCAGCCTCTGCCCCTGCCGGCTGCTCACAGAGTGTCGCTGGGCAGCGAGCGGCAGGGGGCAAGCGGGAAGGGCCGGGACCCCAGTGGACAGTGCAGAGGTTGCCCGAATCTGCATGGGAAAGTGGGCCCTGAGCTGAGGGATGGAGGCCAGAATGACCTTTTTGAAGATGTGGGTAGAATCCACAGGACTGTGGTCCACAGTGGGAAGTCGGGAGGCGAGAGAGAAGCAGGGCCGAGGTTGCTTCCCTGGTGCTGACGTGGGTGGAGGATACGACTTTTCTCACTGTGGTGGGGCCAGAGGAGGACCACCTGCCCGCTGGGAGAGCCTCAGGTTCAGTTCACCAGGGGTCAGCTTTATGCTTGTGGTGTACCTAGGGAAGGTGTCCAGTGAACAGTTATAAACATAGGCTCAGGGTGGCAGGTGAGGTCCGTGTGAGACGTGTGGGCCCTCTGGTGTCCTCTCCTTGGCGGTGGCGATGCTGGGGCGTGGGCTCAGACTCTCAGACAAAGTGCAGGCGGGAGGAGATCTTGTGAAGCAGACAGGGAGCTGGTGGCTGCAGTAAGAGTGCCTTCCAGCTGTTGGTCTCTGTCTTTTTTGCTATCTGGGAGGCTCACAATGTTGAAAAGACCCTGTGCCTGGCATCCCTGCCTTATAGTAAGGTAGAGTCACTGAGATGGACACACTTCCAGTTCTTGTAATCCTGATTTTTAAAAAGGTCAGAAGTTAAACATTTTTATAAGAATTCAGTAGGAGACAGGCAATTCCATCATGACATTGATTTATAATTTATTGGAAAGCCGGAACCATCTTCACTTGGTTTCAGGCAGGGCCGAGCGACTGACCAGGACAGGTGGGGCAGAAGGAATTCTGAGGTTGAGCCGTGTGTAGACCACCTGCCTCCTGAGAGAGTGTTCTATATTTTTCTTTCTCCCATCTGTAGAAGTCATTTTAGAATGGATGTTTCGTGTAGTTACTTAGTGAGATTGTACCAGTCATCACCCATGTTGGAGGGAGAACCAGCAAGGAGCATCACTTGGGGACAGTTTGCTGCAGTACACTCAGCTCTGTAGCAGGGCCAACAGGCTCTACCAAGCAACGTTGTCTTCTGAAGTTTGATAATTTTCCATGGGGAATCTCCAAGGACAGTTCCTCAAAGTGAGCCAAGAAAACCAGAACTAGAAGTCCTGGGCTGGGCCAGCCTTTCCGTGAGGGCCCTCACTGTGGACAGACACCATCCCACCTTGGGCCACATAGTGGTGTGGAGGCCGCCAAGGTGGGTTTTTTTGTTGTTTTTTTTTTTTAATTAAATTTCTTAAAAAAATTGACACATTGTAATTATCCGTACTTATGGGGTAAAATTTGGTGTTTCAACACACATACATTGTATAATGATCTAATCAGGGTATTTAGCATATCCATTGCCTCATGCATTTATCTTTTCTTTAGGATAAGAACATGAAAAAGCCTCTCTTCTAGCTGTTTACTGAGACACAAAACCTTACCCGTCACCATCGTCACCCCGTGTGCAGCAGAACACCAGAACTTACTCCTCATATTGTACCCCTTGACCAACCTTCCCTTGTCCCCTAAGCCCCCACCCCTCCCTAGTCTCTGCTTCTGTGATATCTAGTCCCTTTCCCTTTCCCTCTCTCTCTGTCTCTTTTTTTTTAGATTCTACATATAAGTGAGACCATGCAGTATTTGTCTTTCTGTTCCTGGCTTATTTCACTTAACGCAATGTCCTCCAGGTCCATCCATGTTGTTACAAAAGACAGGATTTCATTCTTTTTTTAATGGCTGAATAGTATTCCATTGTGTAAATATGGGGTTACTTTAAAATTTGTGGGAAAATGTGTATTATCTTTCAATTCTATTTTCTCATGAACTTTGTGAAGTACCTTTATATATCCAAGGGAATTAAAACCAGTACGTCGAAGGGATGTCTGCACTCCCATGTTTATTGCAGCACTGTTTACGATAGCCAATATATGGAATCAACTCAAGTGTCCAACAACAAATAAATGGATAAAGAGAACATGGTATATGAAGGCACTTCAAAAAGTTCATGGAAAAATAGAATTGAAAGATAGTACAAATCTTTCCATGAACTTTTTGAAGTACCCTCAGGAACCCAGTAGTGGATTGCTGGGTCACACGGTAGTTCTATATTGTTTTCCATAGTGGCTGTGCTAATTTAGAATCCCACCAACAGTATACAAGGGCTCCCTTTTCTCCACATCCTCACTAGCACTTGTTTTCTTTTGTCTTTGTGGTAATAGGCATCCCAAATGGAGTGAGGCAGTATCTCATTCTGGTTTTGATTTATGTTTCCCTAATGATTAATGATGTTGAGCATTTTTTCATTTACTTGTTGGCCATTTGAATGTCTTCTTTTAAAAAATGTCTATTAAAGTCTTTTGCCCATTTCTTAATCAAGCTATTTGGGATTTTTTGTGTTTTCGGTTTTTTGTTTTTTGGGTTTTTTTTGCTGTTGTTTAAGTTCCATGCATATTCAAGATATTAACCCCTTATCAGATATATAGTCTGCAAATGCTGAGGTGTTGTGATACTTGTTGAATTTTAGAGCAAGAAGGTGACTTTAGATTGGGGAAGCAGATGTTTGAGGTGCATTGTGGAGAGATTAAGGAAAAACCAAGTTTTAGGAAGATGCTGTTAATATTTTTACCACCATCCTGGTGGAATGTCAGAGCCTACAGTGACTGAGGGTGGGGAGAAGTAGTTCAGAGGACAGTGGGGTGGGTAGAAGCCGTGAAGGTAACAGATGGTAGCAGCCGAGAAGCCCTTTCCTGGGGAGACCAGGGGTTTGGAGATGAAAACGCGCAGGATGATAAGCTGCATCTCCGAGTTCCAGCCTCATGTGTTGTTATAATTTTTTTTTTAACATTATCACACAATTCTGTGCTCTCTTTTTCTCTCTTTCCTTTGTGAATAAAATTTTCCCCCAAGTTTCTTGTCATTGGATGCTGCATCTAAAGGGGCCTTTCCAAAGATGCATTCCCCCCACCAACGTTTGAGACAGGGGAGCAAAGCTGGCCAGAGCAGCACCCCAAACACCAGAGCCGTCTCCTGACTGCCTTCTCTCTCCTTCTCCTAAGGTGAATCCGCCCTATCACATCCCACTGGTTGAGCTGGTCCCACACCTGGAGACAGCCCCCGCGACGGTGGACAGAACCCACGCCCTGATGAGGAAGATCGGACAGTGCCCAGTGCGAGTGCTGAAGGAGGTGGACGGCTTCGTTCTGAACCGCCTGCAGTACCCGATCATCAGCGAGGCGTGGAGGCTGGTGGAGGTGCTGGCGCCAACCCCTCCTTCCCTCCCTTCTTCCCTCCTTCCCCCTCTTTCCTTCCTTCCTTCCTTCTACCCTCCCCCCCTCATTCTGAGATGCTGCTGGGAAAGTCAGAGGGTGCTCAGTGCTCTTGCTCACGTCAGTCATGTGATGTGAGAACAGGATGGTGGGCCTCTCTCTCCTGCCCTTCGTAGGATCGCCACGTGATCTCCTGTGTGGGTCTGCTGCATCTTCCCACAGTCCAGCACCCCCACCCCCAGTGTTATAATTTTTCAGAGGGAAAAAAGTTATACTTTGTGTAAAGTAAACTTGTATCCCCTGAAGGAACCCAACTTATTTCAAGAGCTTGAAGAAGAAACAATGAATAAACATTAAACTGGTTAGTAATATGTTTGTCTTACATATAAATAGGAAATATACTTGAGGGGGGTCTTCGAAAAGTTCATGGAAAGATTTGTATTATCCTTTAATTCTATTTTTCTATGAACTTTTTGAAGTACCCTCATATATGTGTACAGTCATCCCTGTGCATCTGAGGGGGGTTGGTCCAGGACCTCTGGCAGATGCCAAAATCTGCACATGCTCAAGTCTCTGATATACAATGGCCTAGTGTTTGCATATAACCTGCACACATTCTCCTGTACACGTTAAGTCTCTAGATTATGTATAGTACCTAAAACAATGTAAATAGTTGTTATACTATATTGTTTTTTATTTGTGTTATTTTTATTGTTGTTATTTTTCTGAAATGTTTTCAATCTGCAGTTGATTGAATCCATGGATGTGGAACCTGTGGATTAGAGGGCCGACTGCGTATATGTATTTAGCCTCATCCTTTAATTAAGGGATTTTAGATGTGATTTAAGAAGTCACCTAGCTGCGTATGTTCCCATGTACGTTTGTGCCAGGGACTATGGTGGCTGGCAGGACAAAGATCAGAGTGGTCCCAGGAGGTGGAGTGGAAAGTCTTGGGTCTGGGGGTCAGATCGTGTGGTTCCTACCTGGCTCCTGCCCCCTTCTGCACAGGTAAAGTAGCATGGCAGAGGCAAGGCGGTGCCAGGTTTTGGCTGCTCTGCACCTGGTGGGGTCCCTGTCCTGTCTCCACTTGTTCACACACCACGCCCAGCCCGAGGCGGGAACCGGGAAGCTGCATGTCCCAGCTTCCATGGGTGTTATAATTTCTCCTTCCTGGCAGCTCCCTCAAGCCCAGGGAAGTGTACGTGATGCACGTGGCCCTCCCACAGCCTGCTCTGGAACTTGGTCACCCCCCCTTTTAGGTTCTTCCCTGGACCTGACTGCTGTGTGCAGTAACCTCAGTTTTGTGTCTCCCTGTCTAATTACACTTAATGCTGTGTCTTCAAGAAACAGTGGTAGGGTTTCCACTGTTAAGTTGCAGTTTAAATTTCTTAGTAAGTGTAGGATGTTTTTGAATATCAGTCAATGTTAGAGTATTTTAAAGGAATACAGAACTACAAGCACCCCATTGGAGATTTATGTAAAATATTTCCACTTGTGTAGAATAGGGGAGCTAATCAATAGACCACAAGAAAAATTCAATATTGCAGTAAAACACTGTGGGGATTTTTAAGGCAATTTTTACTTTAAGGTGTTTCAGTGCCCTGAATTAAATTTTGCTTTCTCCATCTGAAATGTGCGAACCAACTCAAGGAAGAATTGGGCGCACAGAGAATCCTCTGTTTACACCATGTGGTGGAACTGCCTGCAGCTTGCAAGTTAGGACTCCGGCTGTCCCTTACCCTTGGAGGAGGGAGGCTGGAGGACTCCGAGGCTGGCTGCTCTGGAAGTTCTCACTGGCTCATGGTGCCACCCTTCTTTTGGTTGTGCCATGTCCATGGTTTATAGCAGACTAGGGATGGTCAAGTTACTGGCTGGCAGGAACACCCCTACCCTGCTTTTCAGGATGACATCCCTCTTGCATGTGCCCGTGTCGACTGCTGTGGGGACTCACATGCCTTGAGCCCCCTTAGAACTGAGTGCTAAAATCCAGCAGGATATGGGTTGTGAAGAGAAGAGGCCGACAGAAATAGGAAGGTTTGCAAAGTGCGAACAGAGCCCAAAGAGTTGCCTTTGGTCTAGATGATGATTTACTTTAAAAAAGAAAGATGATCTGTAGGTAGCGAGGACCAAGCAGGCACTTCTGTCCTTGTTGGGGTGAGGTGGAGGATAGAGCTACCAGGCAGCTATGCGCTGTGCTGGGGAGATTCCCACGTGGGCAGCATCTGGCTGACGGGCAGGGGTGAGGCTCCCAGGAGGGAGTACGGAAGGAGGGTGGAGGCTGCACTGTGGCGCCCACTTTTACCGGCACTGCTTAGCGGAGGCCACCCAGGAACTTGTGCAGAAACAGGAGGGCTGTCCACTGGCCCGCTGGACGTGCGCTTGCCCCTGACGCAGCCACTGGCAGGGGCATCTGAGCATCCACACGGAGGCCCTGCCTTCTACAAGGCCCTAGGCCAGGGATGGGGCAGTGCTTCATCTCCAGTTGCCGTAGAGAAATCTCCTGTAGGATTGCCGCACCAGCCGCAGCACAGCCCCCACTTAGCAGGCAGTGGTGTGCCTGGCACTGTACCCATTAGTTGGATTGGTTTAAGGATTCTTGATTTTGTTGCATGGATTTCTTGAAAGAAAATGTATACTGCTGGCCTGTTTCCACTCAGATGCTGCAAATAAGCAGAGGCTGGGGAACCTCTCCATGCCCCACCCTGCCCGTTACACATTTGCATGCGAGCGCTAAGCCGCAGTGCCCGCCAGCATTAAATGACATCCCAGTGACTCACAACCTCAGAGCCAGTTGCACTTGAATTCACCTTTGGGGGTGTTTCAACAGTTGAACTTAGACTTGGGGTGTTCCGAGTTACCTCAAAACTTAAGAGCAACTTTAATATAAAAAGGAGTTGGAATGGGGGTAGTTTTACTGTAGAGACTAAAGACTTGTACATATTTTAAGTTCAAAAGATCCAAAGGCTTCACAGAAGTTCTCTTTCCAAACAGTGCTGGGCAGGTTCCACGTGTAGCCAGAAGCACCCAGCACTGAGCCTTGACCGAGGTAGACAGAATGAGCTTTGAGGTCAGGGGCCACCCCTGATGGCCTGGCTATGGCTGCTTCTGTGTCTTTACTCTCTGGATTCACAAAGCAGGTTGAAACTTGGCAGAGCCTTTTCTGTTTGACCCAGGCTTGGTGCATTAGTGGGTTAGGGCTGGGGTACTTTCCGGGTAGGAAAGGTGCCAGGCGGCCTGGCTCAGGGTGCTACAGGAGCCTGTTAGAAATGGGTCTTATGCTTTTGTCCAGGTGGCTGGTGCTCTGGGTCGTCAGAAGCAAGTTGTGGGTGGGGGACACTGTTGCTGTCATCTGTATATAAGCAGCTCTGTGCAAGTGAAATCCAAGCCTGAATTTCCCAGGGTCTGACTCAAGCTGGGGTAGGAGTCAGAGTGGGATGGCCAGCAGCCGGCTGGGGCTCTGGCTCGGTTTCCGCCAAGCATGGTGCTGCCCTGCTGCTGGTGCCAGGGAGCAGGGGAAGCCGCCTTGCTGAGCTGATGCAGTGGACTACCTGGACTGACTTTCACATGTTGAACCAGACTTGAATCTCTGGAATAAATCCCCCTTGGTTGTGGTGTGCCATTCTTTTTAGACATTGGAGAATTCAATTTGCTTACGTTTTGTTGAGAACTATTTTTGCATGTAGATTCATTGGAGATATTTCTCTGTAGTTTTCATTTTTTGTACTATTTTTCTTTGATTTTTATATCAAGGTCGCATAGAATGAATTGGGAAGTTTTCCTCCTCTTCTATTTTCTGGAAGAGATTTTTGTACAATTTTTGGTAATTTTTCTTTAATGTTGGTTGGAATTCTCGAGTGAAACCATCTGGACCTGGGGAGTTCTTTTTCAGGATATTTCAAATTGTGAATTCGATTTCTTTCATGGTTATAGAAGGTTTGAGTTGTCTGTTTCATCCTGATTGAATTTTGGTGCTTTATGTTTTTTGATAAGTTGATCCATTTCTTCTAAGTTGTTGCATTTATGAGTGTAAAGTAGTTGGTAGTACTCCCTTATTATCCTTTTAATGGCTGCAGGGTCTGTAGTGATAGTCCTGGTTTTGGTCCTGAAATTGGTGACTAGTGTCTGCTCTGTTTTTATCTTTGTTGTCTTGCGAGAGGTTTATTAATTTTATTGATTTTTTTTTTTTGAGAAGCAACTTTTTGTTTCATTGATTTTTTTCCCTATCATTTTCCTGTTTTCAGTCTTACTCACTAAAATCTGGAGGGCAGATTTTAATACTTGTAGCCAACCATAAAGAGAAGTTCTAAGAAAGATGGGGGTGGGGAGTGCGACATGTTCATCATGTGGGCTCATGAAGGGGGAAGCCACGCTGCAGGCATCACATCCAGGTCAGAAAGAGAAAGTGCCAGAATAAGACGCACTATCTTGTCCTTGCTGAATTCTAGGCCATGACATAGTCTTGTCCTCCCCCGTTTGCTGTCTGTCTCCACCCAGCCCTGTAAGTGCTCAGATCTCGTGGGAGCAGAATGGACACCAAATACCCAAGGGAATGAAGGTGCTGGGGCCTGTTGTTCTGTCTCACAGACGTTCACTTCGTTTTTTCCCTCTTCCGGTTTGATTTCAGATTTGGGACAGAGCAGCCTCACAGACTTGGTAATCCCAGATGGGCGAGCCTGGCTGCAGTCTAGGCATGCTGACTTCCCCCACCAGAGACCAGCCCCTGGGTGGCGGGACCCTGTTGGCTGGGAATGTAATTTCAAGTCGATATTCTTAAGGCATTATTAGCACAGTGAGGAAAGTTGTTGTGATGATAAGTTCTTGGCCAGACAATTGCTGAGTTTGTTGTCCATAAATTCCTTCCCCATCAGGGCAGGGTGGGTGGAGGTCTCAGGAGTGAATCGTGGAGCCATCTGCAGGTTCTCTGACAGTCGGTGTGTGGTGGTGATGAGCTTTGGAAATTGCTTACCCTGGGTTTCACCCATCCT